TTAATGCAATAACATTAATACAAAAGTAAAAAAATGATCATGAATAAGGTTACAAGTCAAGTTTTAATATACGATCCCAAAGATCACAATATCCAAACCCCACATCAAACAACAAGAACCTGACTAATAAGGTTCTATATAAGTACATTTTCTAAGGCCAACTAACCTACTATCCTGCTGATTTAAATGGAAAAGCGTTAAACTGTGAGTACACTATAATCTAGGCTTACACGTCATAAAAAGAAAGAGGTTGACATTAATTGGACGAGTCAGGTAAATTATGTTATCATAGGTACAAGTGAAAACACGGGACATAAAATGTTATATGGCTATGAAATTGCGCGTAATTTTCTTTGGCTGAATAAGTAAGTAATAATATTGAAACATTAGTGTTATATATATAATTTGTGCTCTTCTGCTTATTCCATAGAGTAAAATGCGTGATTTTATTTTATGAGTTTTAGAAAGCTCTTATATAGACTGATGACTGTTGAGGCCTCGTTGGCCGAGTGGTCGCAATTGCGACTCGGGCAAGGGGTCTCAGGTTCGATTCCCGGGTCGGGCAAAGTATTACTGGGCTTTTTCAAAAAATCTCAGTAGTAGCACGGAGTCTGGAATTGTGCCCGATATATAGCAATAGGTTCACCTCCTATTACATGGGACTCATACATAAATAATGAAAAGTGGGTGATACATTGTAGTGGCATAAAGTGCCATAATGTACACGTCTGCCTACCCCTTCGGGGATAAAAGGTGTGATGTTATGTTAAGACTGTTGAGGAAGCGAAAAGGGTATGTATCGATGTAAGAATCGTAGCAATTGGCGTTCCATAGTCCTTGCCTACTCCCATGAAAAACAAGCGTGAGTTTATATAGATATGTATGTATATATAAAGCACTTAATTTCAGTCTGTTGTATGTCCCATTTCGTCAGTCGACCTCAAATGAATTCTAGACGTATGTAAGTGCGCGCGCCTCAAAGAGCCATCAGACTACCACAGATGGGGCCCAATAGGGCCGATGCCGATTAGGAGTCGCGGAGAACCTAACGGGTAACCGGGGCTCCGGCTCGACGTGCAGGAGAAGGAACGGGGTGGTTTTTAGTCAGTAAGAGTCTGATACTCCCTCCCGCCTCACCCAGACGAGAGCAGTCATTTGATGATTTTCCCCCCTTAAAAAAAAGACGTATGTAAGTACATATATGTCTGAAAAACTGAGAGATCTAATCTTTCTACTAAGTAAGGTTTGATGCAAAAATATAACTGAGTAAAATGGATTTTTTTATAGGTATAAACTACAACACTAGTTTTCGAACTAGTTACACTATTAAAGTGAACAGCTTTATCAATATTTCTAAGAACAGATCATACCGTTGGTTCAAATAAACTACACTTAAAGTTAGCACCGTTATCGTTGATAAATTACACGTTTCGAAGCGGACATTAATAAGATTATTATTCAGAAAAACATCAATGTAATCGCTATAATCCGAAAGGAACGTCTATATTAGATCGGTTGCTCTACTCAACTGGTGGAACTAGATTTGAAAGCAAGTACTAATAATTGCTAGTCTAGATTTTCACACAGGATTTTCTTGTCGCTCGAGCGTGATCTTTGGTGTGGTTTGGAAACCTTATGCGGTCTATAAAAAGCATTGATGGTGGTTTAAAAAGCATTCGAAGATTTTTTACATGAAACTGTCTGTTTGTTTGAGGCGTATTTTTTAACATCAGACTGTGAGTTGTTTTTTTTTTAAGAAAAAAACGTCGCCACCCTCTGATATTTTCTCCTGTATCGTGGATGCGTTTACTAACATACAAATTCACGTACACATGATACTTAGACCCAAAACAATAATTTGTGGATCAAACAAATAATTGCTCCGTGCGGGAATCGAACCCACTACACGTTGCGCGGCAACCGGTTGCCCAACCACCGCACCTGCCATAAAGGCAGTTCACCGATGGGACTAAATAAAAAGAGTTTGCAATAATCTCCAGAATTGGCAGGCGGGCTGGAGATACGAAATTGCATTTGAAAAAAGTGAGATTTATCAAAAAGCCAAACATTTGACAGAAACCGGTCAATACTATTATTGCCCGGTTTCTGTCGTGTAGCCCCTTAATCGGTTTATGATACCAGTGGTATGAGCTGGGCTAGTTACAATAGGGCATACCGTATGTTTAACCGATTTAAAAAAAGAAAGAGGTTCTCAGATCGACCTGGCTGTAGGTATGTATGTATGTGTTCGTGCGCGATTATCTCACGATTAGCTGCATCCGTTTTGAAGCGGTATTTAGAAGTGTTTGTTACACTAAGTAGAAGGTTTTAATATGTATAATAATTAACCGAGTTCAAACAAAGAGCAGGTTTTTTTTAAGGGGGGAAAATCATCGAATGACTGCTCCCGCCTGGGTGAGGCGGGAGGGAGTGTCAAACTCTTACTGACTAAAAACCTTCCCGTTCCTTCTCCTGCACGTCGAGCCGGAGCCCCGGTTACCCGTTAGGTTCTCCGCGACTCCGAATCGGCATCGGCCCTATTGGGCACCATCTATGGTGGTCTGATGGCTCTTTGAGGCGCGCGCGGAACGGGACGCGCCGTACGCTTGGGTCTGTTTCTGGTCGGACGGGGAGCCACCCATGCTCGCCGTCCGCAGGCCCGCGCTTACGGTGGCCGGAGATCGTCTCGCGATCCCCTACGCCCGGTGTGTCCTTCGCGATGGCTAAGCGCTGCCTCACGCGTCCCGCATCCTCCTTAGCTAGCATGACTACTTCGCAAAAGGAGGAGACGGCATCCCAGTACCCCTCGCTCCGCATCAGGACCCGCACTAGGCCCGGACGCGAGAGGTCGCCATCGAAAACAATTATTGCTCACTAGATACACAGACTAGAGTGAACCTCTCGATCTTCGTCCAATAGGGAATCAACTAGTGTCGCACCATTGGACATTGAATATTTGACAGATGCTGTGATTAGACTCTATCTAGTTGTAAAGTCCTTATCAATACAAATTAATCAAGCCCAAACACAAGGTAGTTAATATAAACCGCTGAGGAGTTCTCTCGACTGTCTGTCAATTCCATCATCAGGTCGAATCCAATCCCTTATCAAATTGTAGTGTTTAAAAATCCTAATTGAAAAACATAATAGACGCATTACTCGCCCCTAGAATTTTCGAAAGTTCCCCTCGGATTTTCTCTGACCTCATGGAAATGGGACCATCTTGGGAGTATACCCTTTCAAATAAAACAAGAATTTTGGAAATCGGTTCCCAGATGGCGAAGTAATGCACGAACAAACAAAAAGAAAATAATCAGCCGAATAGTATTATAGCTATAGTACCTCCTCCTTTTTATGAAGTCGGTAAAAATACGGTTACTCCCGTTGCCACGTGGTTTAAAATAAACCCTTGTCAGGTCTAAAGAGAAAGATACACAGTAATTTAAAACCATAATACAACACTTAATTAGCATAATAAAGTAGGCGATATGTAATTAGAGATCTTTCTAAAACATTTGACTTTTTACCTGATTGCCTGAAGCCAAACCTGCTAAGGACAAGGGTATCACTTAGACCCTTGTAATGTAATATTATTTCATATAAAGTACAACGACCAGTCGGTCAAGCTAACCCTCTCTTCTTCATTAGATTTTTAACCTAATTGTTTTTATATATAGTTGAAAATTCATTGACAAATATTCACAGATGTGAGTAGGTTGAAGTGCTGTCCTGTACTTATAATAAAGTCTAATAAAACCCTTTAGCTGAGAAAATAAATTAATGTTTTCTTGATACTAAGTATAATGAAAACAAAGGGATGAATTAGACAGGGGATTCTATCGCACAATTACTAATTAATTTTATTTACTGCCTCGTTGGCCGAGTGGTCGCCAGTGCGACCGTGTAAGAGGTCGATTTCCGGGTCGGGCAAAGAATTACAGGGTTTTTAAAAAAAATCTTAGTAGTAGCAAGGAATCTAGAATTGTGCCCAGTATAGGTATGGCAATAAGCTCACCCCCTATTACATGGGACTCATAACATACACAGTGAAAAGTGGGTGTTACATTCTACAGTGGCATTAAATGCCGTAATGTGCACCTCTGCCTACCCTGGAATCGAACCCGAGACCCCTTGCTCGACAGTTGCACTTACGACCACTTGGCCAATGAGGCAGTAGATTTTCTTATGTTAATAAATAAAGAAAGTAGCGTTCATAGCTACCTATGAGTGAAAAGTGCACGCTTAATTGAACAAAATTTGCACCTCTGCCTACCCATTTGCAGAAAGATAACCGTGAATTAGTGGCGCGTAACTTGAGACCGACTCTGTGATTTAGTATGAGAAAACTTGTAATAGAAAACCACTGGTTCTTAAGAACGAATGCACTACTAATGAATAAAAGCTATAAATAGCGAAGGAAATAATTTCTGCTCTGTTAGTCAAGTATCAGGTCGAGAAAAGTATTATTGTATATATACAATAAAATAGTTGGTAATGTCTATGTCTACTAACCCAATTGTTTTGTCATTTCAGCTACTAACAACTAAAAACTACCGCAAAGTTAAGTTCGACGGTTCATTAATTTTGCCGTCACCATTCGACACTGGCAGTATAGTCGACAACATCGTTTTGGAGACTCGGTTGTCAAAGAAGAAAAAAAAAACTATTATCCGAGTTATGTGAGAAATAGTCATGACACTAATGTGACAACAAGGTCACTGGTCACGTTATAACCCCTAATTTGATAAAGTCCGGTGTGACGGACGTCACAACAACACAAAAATTAAATCCTACTAATTATTCAGATTCTGTATTACTTTGCATATTTTCTATAGTAACACGAATCCCAGAGATTGTGCCTGGTCTAGCGAGGGTTCGACACTTTGTGTGGTCCACAAATTCATTTCTTCATGTTTCGGGTCTGGGTGTAATGTAGATGTTAATTTGTGAACAAATCTACGACTGAGGTAAAATCGTGTGGAGCAAAGTTTTATAAAAAAAATGGCAATAGGTTCGCCCTCTGTTACCTATATCTACAATAGGTACGATGACAGGGTATAAAAATTAAAAATGTAATTAGTCCGTCAGTTAGGTAATGAAGAAATATTAGAAACGTATTTTTTATTTTGTTGTATAATTAAACTGCAGCATATAACTAATCAAAGTTTAGGAGTGGGGGCTAAAACGTCATTTCTACGTATAAGATGTACATAGAAGTGACGTCACGCGAAATTTGAAATCAATATATCTTCGAAACCATTCGTTTCCGTAAAAAAATTAAAGAGACGTGTCTAATGTTTTAAAGTAATCTACCAGACGAACATTAAAATAAAAATTAGTCATCTACCCTATTACAAAAATATTTCCGTTTGAATATTAATCTCATCTACGGTTTAAAATTAATAGTAATTCTATCTGGGATCAAACTCGATACTTATTCAAACATTTCCACTTAATAAATCTCTATAAATCATTACAAATGCCCAATAAACAGTAATAAACAAATATAAAGGCGTTATTTCTATCTCATTTCACTTGTATACAAATACTCAAACGCCATTCAATTATAAAACACTCTCAAGAATAGTTCTGTCGCTACCAATGCTTAGTAAAATGAAAGAGATAGCATGATTAAAATTTAAAATTTAGTAGCATTTCTGTATGCGGACGTTAGAAATCTAACTAAGGGACGTTTCACTTGAACAACTTAACACAATCAGTTAGGATTTCGTTTAACATCTTAATTAATTTAGCCATGTTCACCTTGTAAGGCTTGGCTATAAATCTCTGTACCATGCTCTGTAGAGTCGTAAACACAAGATTTGTGGGGCCTTGAACTTTGGCAAGATTTTCGTAATGAGAACATAGGGGATTAGTGGTTGTTCCATGATTTTGGAATGGTAATTAATATAAGAAACCGCATTCTAGTAAGAAGACGTGGAATACATCTTCTGAACTGAACATTTTTAAGTGTGGGCCATACTCCGGCACGAATGGGCCGGCTCGACCGGAGTGATACCACGGCCTTACAGTAAACTGACGTGAAATAGCTTGCGTTGTGTTTCATCGTATGAGTGAAGTTAATGAAGGGCACTCAATCCTTGAATCTTCAAATTTAAATTTCTAATCTTTAAATTTCTAATCTCTAGAAGGTCGGTAACGCACTTGTAAAATTCTGGTGTTCCGAGTGTCCATGGGCGACGCTGATTGCTTATCATCAGGTGATCGGTCAGCTCGTTTATCGGCTTATCCCATAAAGAAATGTTTGGTAATGGGGCACCCAATAATACAGCTTTTCCTGATGTCTGTCAAACTCAGCGATAGTGTTTTCTTGAAAACGTAATGAAATATTAGAGTAGCATCTGGCTGGATATAGGTCGCTTCGACCGGTCAATTTGAACGTAATTGGTAGGGGCCTATGTCCTATGTTCCGCAGTGGACGTCTTGCAGCTAGTATATTATAATGTGTACCATCTTAATTCTTTATTAGATAATAATAGTTTATTTCCTTATTATTTCCAGATGCAGGCGTTCGGTGGATCCCATCGTACTGCGCGTTAAAAGAGCTCAGTGTGTCCGACTGTACAGGTGTCACGGACTTCGGGCTGTATGAGCTGGCGAAACTAGGGCCGGCACTACGATACCTTTCTGTCGCTAAGTGTACACAGGTGAGCAAAAACCTAGACTTGTTTACCAAAAACAAAGAAAAAGGTTAAGCTTGAACTAAAATTTTCTAATAAAGATGCTGATAAGGAACTGGATATAAAAATACGCTTGTGTTCCCAAAAGACAGGTGTAATTAGAGCAAATTGAGGTTTTACATTGGTTCTATCACATTAAACTGTCAAACACCGCGAGGACACCGGTGACCGCAACCTATTGTTCTTTGTGTCTATAATGACGGTACTCAACGAGTTAATATAAGGTATAAATGTGAAAGTGTCTTTGTTTGGTGTTTGTCCAGCAATCACGCTGAAAATAATGAACGGATTATAATGAAATTTGGTATACGAGCCGAGCAAAGGGTGTAACCGCGCGGCATTAGCTAGTATAAATCTAAAATGCAATCAAAGAACGCTTGCAGTGATTATAAGCTTCACACTGATGTACTTAAATTACACTTAAAACTACATAGAGCGAGGCCCTATTTGTCCGTCTATGCTGCGTTGCGTCGCGCCGTCACGTCGCATTGGAACATAGCTTTGTACGGCCCACCGCGACGACGCGACACACGACATCACAATTGCATTTCAGATACAAACGTGCTGACTGTCCATCGACGCAGGAAATCACCCTGCTTCCCGTTCTCTTCATCTCTTGTCCTTCCAATGGGGCATGCCATATAAAAATTATAGAAAACGACACTTCGACGATGCAACGTCGTTACGTTGCATCGTCGAAGTGTCGTAGGAACGGACAAGTGAGGCTTAGTTAGCTCTTAGAAGGAAAATTCAGTAAAGTAATTAGTTAATTACGTTTTAAATGAGAATGGTAATCTTAAACAAACTTTAGAAGGAAAAACGGAACGTGTAAACAACTAATAAAATATTTAATGACATTTTGTATTATATAGGATAGACTGCCTCGTTAGCCGAGTGGTTGCAAATGCGACTGCCGGGCAAGGGGTCTCGGGTTCGATTCCCGGGTCGGACAATGTACTACTATATTTTTTCTAAATCTCATTACTAGCACGGAGTCTGGACCTATGCCCAGTATATGGCAATAGGCTCACCCCCTATTACATGGGACTCATAACATAAATAGTGAAAAGTAGGTGTTATATTGTACAGTGGCATTAAGTGCGATTATGTACACCTCTGCCTACCCCGTCGGGGATAAAAGGCGCAAAAAATTGTTTTATTTGTTTTTTGTTACCACCTCCTTTTTTTGAATTCGATAAAAATAAGAAAAAACGTGTCTAATATTTTTCAATATCTAACTCATAGACTAATTAGATTTTTAACTTTCATACCCCGTCACCTACCCTATTTAACATAACAGCGGAATAGATTGATAGCAAATTAAATGTTATATTGAGTAAGTTCCTATTTGTTCATTTTCTAGATACAGGGGAAACCCTTCAAAGAGTGTTCAAGAAAAAGCCTAGGGTAGAGTAAGAAGAAGAGAAACCCGAAGTAACCTCAATAATACTATGTCTAATCTGGGAATCGTACCCCAGACGCTGCTTGACGTTGTACTTGCAATAATACTTTGATCGACACGAAACACGGACTGGGCACTGGATCGTCAAAAATATCTCGAACAGAAAACCAGGCAATGGTTTATAATCGATACCTAGCCCATAAATTACCAAGCGGTCACCGGTGACCGCTTTCCACTAATATTACATTACATTATAGACCTTATTTGTAATGTTTAGAGACTACTTTTGTATGACCAAATTAAGGGGATGGATTTCAACGGGACACGTTTACGTCTAAACTTCAGTTCCAAAACTTTAGACACGTGCTCCATCTAATAATATACGTTTAGTCCAACATTATCCAGCAGTTCAAGTTTACAATTCAATTTAGGTTAGGCAGACGTGATTCGTAGTTGGTTTCAAACGTGTTGGATACTTTTTAGACCCACACAAGGCTAATTGTGACCTATATCTGGCCTTTCTGAAATTTATTTTCGAAATTGGGTAAAAACTTTACCATATATAAATGCAATAAGCTATTTAAAATGAGTAAATAAACTAGTTTTTTCTCGCCTTAAAATCACCGAATTAATAATTAAGGGTAGCTCGCCACCCATCCAGAATCAGACTTCATGCGTACTGCGCGTTGGGTTCCTCAAAGAGCTATCAAATCACCATAGATGGGGCCCAATAGGGCTGATGCCCGATACGGAGCCGCGGAAGGTCAAAAGAGTTTGCGGGACTCCAGCTTGAAGAGCAGGAGTAGGAACTGGGTGGTTTTTACTCAGTAAGACTCTGGCACCCCCTCTCGCCTAACCTAAGGAGAGAGAAGTCATTGCATGATTTTTCCGCTTCATAAAAAAGACTTATTCTCCTTGTTTAACAATCTTATCTGAACTAATAAAGAAGTAATAAGAGAACATAATAATAA